TACTCCATGCACACGCACAAGGCCATTTGCTTCCAAAAAATGAATCTATTGTTTCACAAGAATTTTACATTCCCAGACTCACGAAAATTGTTCAGGATGTAATTACAAACTGCGTCCCATGCATCTTATCCTCACGTAAAGCTGGTAAACAAGAAGGCTTTCTACATCCCATTCCAAAAGGTGATAAACCCCTTGATTGTTACCATTGTGATTTTTTAGGACCATAGGAAGTAACAAAAGTCAACAAACACGATCGTTATGAAGTACAGAAAATTGGACAACATGAAGGTCCAAATGTAACTTCAAATTCAGCTGATAAAATGAAGAAGTGGTGTACACATTGAGAAGCTACCATCACCAAAGCTTATTTGTTATTTTGTATTTTCCTTTTCCTGCTGTTTTTTTAATATTATTTCAGTTCACTTGTTCCCCCAGCGCTGAGGATGGCGTGGTTATCAGGATGCCCGTGTGGATGTCAGCTACTCGCAGACCACTTCCGAAGCCATGCATGAACTGATGTGATTGAGACAGTCCTCTTCCCGCCGCCATAAGCACGAGATGAAAAGCTGTAACACGCGTGATGATTTAAATCTAACTATGTAAAAGCAGATAGCCTTATTCTCTTTTTTTTTACCTGTGTGTCCGTCCTATAATGTCCTTTTTATCTATATTAAAGCAATTAGCTTAAGAAGTCTCTTTTTTGAAGTATTTAAATAACGGACACACTCACACACACACATATATATATATATATAAGTATGTATATGTATGTATATATATATGTATATATATATATGTATATGTATATGTATATATATGTAAGGATAATTAAATTAGATTAAAAATTAAATTCCCTATCTAGCACTTCACTCATCTTTCTCAGTCCCCATATTCAAGTATCAAACTATAATCACCCATTTATTTCTTCCGAACATATGGCCTAGCCAATAAACATGTCTAATTTCAGATCGTTAGATTTAATAGTCAACATATGTCAGCATTAACTTGCAAGCACCTTCTTCAAAGCAGCGATACTTACCATATGTTTTTCAAGTGTTATCCACTTGAAACCACCACCATGGCGTGCTTTTTTCCTCCCTCTCTAGGTATCAGAACAGATGTACAAATGAAGAATAAAGGTCGATTTTTTTTTTCACTTTTCTAACTTTAATCTGATTCTGTCTTAAAAATCATGATAGAATTAAAGCCGGCAGGATCTTTGTCTGCGATCTTAATGTAAAAAACTAATCTTTTTATAAACTAATTTTAAAAATACAAACGAACGCCGACGACCGTAATAACTGATATGGAGAATATTATGGAACGTCGATTACGCCGAATGCCTGTATATGAAGACGTCGGATTGCCGGAATAAAAAATGGTACGGAAAAACGCACTATTATTCCCTGGAAGAACATCGCTCTTAGCCCCCGAGAAGAATGCAGTGTTTACCACCGAACGTTATTTCTACCGTTGCTGAAGAGACCAGCAAGTTTGCCATGAAAGAACCAACTTTCGAATGACGAAAAAAGAAACAAAACAAAAGAGAAGCGTGAATTCCCCAATTCAGTGATGAAAGGCGTCAATCCCTTCCGCCAGAATAATAATAATAAAAAAAAAAAATATGTTCTTCTCAATGGTATTGGGATTTAGCTCCAGTGATACAATGATGGAAGGACCAACACTACCAGAAAAAAAAATCTTCGCCGGAAAGTCTGCACTTTAATACTGTGAAATAGTGAAGTATCAACATGGAAAAATATCGAAATAAATAAAATTTTACTAGTGAAAATAAAGTGACAACAACCTCTGGATTACCGTTCACCAAGGCTTTCTGCCACTGCAAAGTGGAGGTCAGTTAAATTGTATATTTCCAATTTTAGTAACATTGAAGAACTGAGTTTTGCTGAACAGAACTTTACGAAAAAGAATAATATATGATATGTGATCTTTAATTTTTATAATATAGTTGTGTTATAAATGATATATTTTCTTTATATTTTAATTGAGAAAACAAAGTATATAGGTTTAGTCATACAAAATTTTGAGAAATTTTAATATACTTCTCATAATTTTATCTTAAGATGTCGAATGAGTTACTAGTTATGATAGAAATTGGTGTTTTAAAGTTGAAAAATATAAATTAAGTTTTTAGAAAATGATTAATGTAGTACTAATACTAATGATATTTTTGATAAGAAGCACAAGTAAAGTCACGTTGCATTCTCTTTTCTCTTCTGAATTTTATAGTTTTGTTAATTATTTTATTCAGCAGTAATCTTATTGCATGTCATTTATTTTTTTTTTTTATTTTGAAATTGTGTGTTTTGATATACCGGCCATATATCAGATTCACTATTTCTTAAAATTTTCCTTATCTAAAATTAAAATTAACTTAATAACTTGAAGTCTAATTTTGATATTATACAGTGGATATAAGCGAGAATACAATCATTACCATTTTGTATATGTCTCGAAACATTAAGAGGACAAACTTGTTTAGTTTGATATGTACACCTCTCATTGTTTCTTATCAGCATCCCTGAACAGCTGTGAGTTGATGACGCAGATTTCTCAGAGAGATGTGTTCAAAATTAAGTAAGGTGATACAGTTTATATTAGTGAATGTGTGATGCAAGAGAAACTCAAGAATTTTTGTCTATGAAACGAATTTTTAGAAGGTTACGGAAAGATTCAAAATATTGTATGCGATATTGTTAAGTTACAGTGAATATTGAGAAAATTTTCATGCATACTAAAAGTTATTATTGAAGTGAGTCCAATTTTCCGACTCAAAAATAATAAAAAAGTGCTCTTATATTCTTGTATTCTTTTATTCCTATATTCTTATAATTTTTATATTTTATAAAGCATTTGAAATAAAATATTGTTTATTGTGTTGAATAGTGCATATAAGTTGTGTGTTATACACCGTTTTCATATTATTAATAATTTCATTTTATTAGTGTCTATATTTTTTTTTCTTTTTTAAAAAAATGTATTTCATATATGCAAAATATGTGTAACAATATAAGGTATTACTACGATGGCGCCAGAGTAGATTTTTATACAAAATTATTATTTTAATATTTGTATGATTTCATGTATTTTTATATTTACTATCTTATTGTTTGATATATTATTTTCCAACATAATTGTTTTGAAAATATCTACCAGCTGTAATACATTATGTCTATTATTATGAAGGAATAGGAGGAAACGCGAGTTCTTTTTCTGGATGTCGAATAGATTTAAACAAGCTAATCTTCAATTATATGTATGGAAATTCATGTTTATCATTTGATATGTTGAAAGTGTCCTTAATGTGTTTGCTGTTATAGTTTCGTTTTTATTGTATTGCATTTTTGATTTTAGAATTCCTATTGCTTAAATATTTCTACTGTGTTAATATGTCTTTCTAAATAATGTTATGTATTGTTTTGTGTTTATTGAAAATTGATTAAGTTTGTAAAGAGAGAAAAACCACGCCATGACTCCCTTTTAAAATTGGGGGCAAATGTAAGGATAATTAAATTAGATTAAAAATTAAATTTCCTATCTAGCACTTCACTCATCTTTCTCAGTCCCCATATTCAAGTATCAAACTAATCACCCATTTATTTTTTCCGAACATATGGCTTAGCCAATAAACATGTCTAATTCCAGATCGTTAGATTTAATAGTCAGCATATGTCAGCATTAACTTCCAAGCACCTTCTTCAAAGCAGCGATACTTACCATATGTTTTTCAAGTGTTATACACTTGAAACCACCACCATGGCGTGCTTTTTTCCTCCTCTCTCGGTATCAGAACAGATGTAGAATTGGTTGAATAAAGACCGTCCCTTTTTCTAACTTTTAATCTGATTCTGTCTCCAAAATCATGACATATATATGTATATATATATGTATATATATATGTATATATATATGTATATATATATGTATATATATATGTATATATATATGTATATATATACGTATATATATATGTATATATATATATATCTGTATATATATGTATATGTATATATATTACTTATTCATCACATGCAATATAACTTTAAGTTAGCTGTATTTTCTTATCAATGTTTTGAACTTTAGTTTTCAAGTTTTAGAACAAACCATTCTTCTGTTGTGGTACGCTATTAAAGATTTCAAATTTTGGCGGCACACTCTAACAATTAAATAAGCTTTAAACAATTTTATTCAACTGTGTAATATACTATGTAAAATAGTTAATGATAATAATTTTCAATGTTAAATAAAATAAAATGTTCGACAAGGACAACATAATGTCTGTTGAATAATTAATAAAAAAATTAATCATAAGAGTACATTTAATGCTAAGTTTAAGCTTGAAGATTTTTGATAATTTGTTTTATATCGAGTCGTAAAAATGATATTGCCATTCTCATCTCATTTCATCATCTACGTTTAAAAGTTTCCATCTTTATTCCATTTTTGTGTTTGTTAGTGTTGAAAATCCGAATTAACGCAAGTTGTAGAAAATTGTAACAATATATTAAAAAGCTTTTTTTTTGTGTGCCTATTTTGGAGTAATTGCTTCCAATTTTAACCCAGAATGAATTAATTGACTCTTCCAAATGTTTTGAATTTAAATCTCGATTACTACAGAGTGTAAAATTAGTTCTTCCTCTTCATTCAAATTTAATTCACAAACCGATTTATCCGTTATCACAAACTGATTACGAGTCCAATTAAATTTTTACATCTTAATTCGGGATGTAATGGATAACAAATGATATAAAATAAATTTTAAGGTCAATTCTCTCCTACTTAGGTCAAAAAAGAAAATCTTATTTTTGTTACTTTTTATTAAATAATTACAATTAATATAAATATGTCTATACATATGACAGAATCACATTATTAAGTGGCAAAATAAAAGCCATTTTCCTTTCCATATATAGTGTTGGTCTATTATTTTTGTTTGTTACTATTTATTCATTCATAAGTCACATGCTCTGAAGTTAAGCCACCCCAAGTAGGACTAGAACACACGACCTTTGGAAAACAAGTCCAACGCGCTATCCATTGCGTTATAGGGGTACAATGAGTGATTTCCTTTTATATATGGTGCTGTGCTATTATTTTTGTTTGTTATTATTTATTCATTCATAAATCACATGCTCTGAAATTAAGCCACCCCAAGTAGGACTAGAACACATGACCTTCGGAAAACAAGTCCAACGCGCTATCCATTGCGTTACAGAGGTACAATGAGTGATTTCCTTTTATATAAGGTGTTGTGCTATTATTTTTGTTTGTTACTATTTATTCATTAATTGATGAATTAATATTTGAAAAACTGTATTAACATCAAGCGTCATTCACTACAAGTTTAAAAATATGTATTTTAACTCAGTGGAAGAATAAAAAGTATTTTATTGACGACTGAAAATTTGAACAACGTATATATATATATATATATATATATATATATATATATATATATATATATATATATATAATTATATATATATATATATAAAGTGAACGGTGCTACTGCAAGCCCTCTTCTTAGCATCCTTCCAGGCGGCTGCAAAGGGAAGCATATGGCAATGAGTCGGACGAAAGAGGCAGCGAGAGAAGAGACATTAGAACAAAGAGAGAAGAGGTTCAGAACGCAGAGAAGCAGACGCACATCGAAAGAGCCGTAATACAGCCAATTAGACAACGACGCGCGTTTAAATGTTTCATTTAATTCATTAATTGTTATTCTCCATTTTATTTATTCTTATTTTAAAAGTAAACAGATTATTCTGGCAAATCCCAGTTTACGAATTCATCCCAGTAACAACATATATATATATATATATATATATATATATATATATATATATATATATACATATATATATTTAGGAGAGTGCGAACTAATTGTGAGAATTAAAATATCTCTCATCTGTTATCTCAAACAGTCAGTAGCAATTTTATGGTTATAGTTAATTTCTAATAAAAGGTCGAATGATTTCGGTCTGGTTTTAATTTTTTTCTTAGAATACAATTAATGGTTTTAAGGCGTCTCAAGGGTGTTAAATTTCTCTAGAGGGCTGAAAACATTTTCAAAAAGGTATAATTTTTAAATTTAAATTAAATAATTCGAATCTTTTACACAATATTTATGAAGAAATGGGGCTTCAGAAAAGAGTAAATCGTTTAAAATATAATCATAATTTTAAAAATTATAAGCATATGAAAATAAGAAACATTTCTATAAGAAATATTAATTAAGTCTTTCGTTACGCATTAAATTTTCTAAAATAAAGGGTGTTTTTTTTAGAGGTATAAAAACTTTAAATTGCAATAAAAACAACGATGCATTATTCGATTGACATGAATTTTTTTATTCGAAAGATAATCTTGTGGCATTATATTTTAAATATGATTTCTGGCATAGGACTGCCACGGCTGGCTCGGATGTAGTCCAATCTGACGCCCAATTTTCGATCATCACTTTTCCAACATTTGTGGCCGTATATCGACAATAACACGGCGAATGTTGTCTTCAAAATGGTCAAGCGTTTGCGGCTTATCCGCATAGACCCATGACTTTACATAGCCCCACAGAAAATAGTCTAGCGGTGTTAAATCACAAGCTCTTGGAGGCCAATTCCCAGGTCCAAACGCGAAATTAGGGCGGTCACCAAACGTGTCTTTCAACAAATCGATTGTGGCACGAGCTATGTGACATGTTGCGCCGTCTTGTTGGAACCACAGCTCCTGGACATCATAATTGTTCAATTCAATAATGAAAAATAGTAATCATGGCTCTATACCGATCACCATTGACTGTAACGTTGTGGCCTTCATCGTTTTTGAAGAAGTACGGACCAATGATTCCACCAGCCCATAAAGCGCACCCAGTCGTTTTTCTGGATGTAACGGTGTTTCGGACATACACTTGTGGATTAGCTTCACCCAAATGCGGCAGTTTTGTTTGTTGACGTAGCCATTCAACCAGAAGTGCGCTTCATCGCTAAACAAAATTCGCTTATGAAAATCGGGAACAACGGCAATCTAGTTTTGGGCCCATTCGACGAATCTAATCCTTGCTTGATGATCGTTTTGATGAATTGCCAAACCAAACTGAGAATAAATCACTTGACAGCTGTTAAATCGGTCGCCATCTTGAAAGTAATGCCAACTTAAACTTCTATACCTGAAAAACACTCTTTAGTAGTTTTAATTACCAGCTATAAGTTGATTTATAAAGTAAAATGTATATATATCCTTATTACACAGTAGTATTTTTATGTAGATAGAATAATAAATTATATATTTTGAGAAATAAAAAAAATTACATTTTTTAAAACTTTTTTAAAAATTCAATATTTTTCAAATATTTTGAAATACAAAAGATACATAATTCTTGAATGAAGTTGGGTTTAAAGAGTGTGATATATTTTATAATTCTATAAAGTTTTATACACATCAGAGGCTACTATTTTAGAAAATATCTTGCGCAACGCAAAAATTACTTAATATTTATTACATAATTATTTTTTATTTTTATATGCTTATAGTTTTTTAAATTATGATTATATTTCAAACATTTTATACTTTATTGAAGCCATAATCCTTTGTGAATAATGTGTAAACGATTCGAAGTATTTAATTTAAATTTAAAAGAATTGTACCTGTTTGAAAATTGTTCATATGTTTAACCCTCGAGACAAAAATTAACACCCCTGAGACCCATTTAAAAAATTTGACGGCACTAAATTTCTGCAACATAACGGTTGAGAATCATTGTTTTAGGGATATCTCACTCCTTTTTCACATGAAATTATATAAAATTTGTGAGTGTATGCATAATTTACATTTATTTCAATAAAATTACGTGGATATTATTTATTAGTAGCATGGATCGAACACTAACACGCTTTTCTTCAACTAATTTAGCACCCAACAGAAGCGAATTTTCGAAGAAAACTTAGACATGGAGAGAATCTTACATATTTCTACTCATTTGAGACATTGATGTAAAGCCTTTGCATTTAAACATTCAGGTGTAAGTTTCAACAAGCTTTGAATGAGAAACTCCATTTCAGTTAATTACGAAAGACCCATCAAAGGAGTTAGAACACATTTCGCCTTTCAATGCATGAGATTAGAGCCTTTTGTTAACTGAATTCCTCCGCCGTTGTACTCGAATTTCCATTCGAATGTTTACTAAACGCTCAAACAGTTGTGAAGTCTAATATATTTAGAGGTTAGTTCATATATAACTTCCCACTCAACATTTCGTTCTGTAAACCCTCGAATTTCGAATTTTTCAGATGTAATTAATATTTACATTTCATTAATTTTGAGGCTGTAAGTGACAATTTACTTAAAATGTTTTTTAAGAATCCCGATTCATAACATTTAAAGAGATTTATCTTGAAAAAGTTTTTGTAAAATGTATGCCATACACTTAAGTATATTTGAAAATGAAATAGATTTTAGAAATCCTAGGTTTGGAAGTGTCCACGTGAAATTAATATATCTATATCTATATTTATATATATATATATATATATATATATATATATATGTATATATATATATATATATATATATATATATATATATATATATATATATATATATATATGTAAGGATAATTAAATTAGAGTAAAAATTAAATTCCCTATCTAGCACTAAACTCATATTTTTTCATTTCATCTTCAAGTATCAAACTAATCACTCATTTATTTCACCCGATCATATGACCTAGCCGATAAACATGTCTAATTCCAGATCGTTATATTTATTAGACCTATATGTCAGCATTAACTTTCAAGTACAATCATAAAATCCGCGATACTTAGAACATCTGTGTTTAAGTGGTAACCCACTTAGCTTTCCCAATGGCGTTCTTTTTTTCTCTCTCCCTTCTCCTCCTTCTCTGAACTTGTATAGATTTCATCAAATAAAGATTCTTTTTAAAAACTAAGTCTGATTCTGACTCAAAGCATGGCATATATATATATATATATATATATATATATATATATATATATATATATATATATATATATTACGTGTCACGATGTTTGTCCACAATGAATTCCGAAACTACTCAACTGTGATCTGAAGTCATTTCATTAAGTGTCATTTCCTCCAACTTAAAATATAAAAAATGGTAAAATTCGTAAAATGTCTCAATGAGCGTATTCCTGCTTAAGCAGATTTTGTAGACCAAGGTGCACAAAAAGTGAATGCCTGGCGTATTTTTGGGCATGGAATCCAAATTTGGAAGAGGTTCACAATGGTACTTGTAATTTTGCCGGATAATGCCGGGTGACCGTATTTTAGACACATCGGGGCAGTGGCTTACCTTAAAAGTTTTGGAGAGTGAAAACTTTGACTCTGGCACATTTCAAGATGGGCAATCCAAATCTGATATCCGTTCCGAGAAATTGCTGGATAATTTGGGACGATGGCAAAAGCTTGTCCTAAAAATCTTGAGTGGAAAAAAGCGTTTCAGGTGTATTTCGGGATGGTGAACGAGAACCTGAAATCGGGCTTTAGAAATTCCCCGTAACTTTTCCGGATAATGCTGGAAGACTCTAATATCCACTTCCAAGGACTGAACTTGCAGGCTCATGGATACTCAAAGTAGTCCCCGGTTGGGTCTACGGACACTAAACGAGAATCTGAAATCAGATTTCTGAAACTCCTGTAAATTTGCCGGATATTGCTGGAATTTGGTGAAATGACAGTGCGTTCGAATACCACGTGTGGATTTCCATTCCTTTTCTTTCATTCCTTGCGGATTTCATGAACTTGAACGTGCTGGGGCACTGAAAGTCAGTCAAGTGTTCATTTCGGGGTAATAATGAAATTCTGAAATTGGATTTTAGGAGTTCCGGTAAAGTGTATTGTCGGATAATACCGGATGACTGTAATCATGGCTGTATAATTAGGCACGGGCCTAATCGACAGACGTAAGGACACAAAAAAGCGGATCCCCGACGTATTTCTGAACTGCCGATCTGAATATTCAATCCGATTCAAAAATTTCGCGTAACTATGCCAAATAATTCCAGGCGACCGTGGCA